TGGGTTTACAAAACAGAGATGGAATAAAAGTGAGTCCACAATTAAATACTACGTTCAATAAGTGAATAATCTGTTCACAAACTTGCATTTCCCTGATGGACTGTTGAACAAACAGCCTAGAGCACATTTTCAGATCTAATTTCTCAATATTTTCCACAACTGAGAAACTCCTATGATCTCTTTTTTTCCCTTGTCTCCTGGGAATAGAAACTTGGCAAATATATTAAGGGCATTTCAATCAGGTAAGTTTTCCTGGCTCTTCCTGTTAATCACACTGGACAGCATAATGCAGTTTTTGCTTGCAATATGAAACAGAGTGTTACACTCAAGGTGAAGTTCATAACCCTTTATTAGTCCCTTCTTCTGTCATCTCTCTACTGAATGACCTTCTTGGGCAAGAAATGTGCTGAGTCCCACAGCTATCAAAGACACATACATTATTTCCTTCACTACTAAAGCCAGCAGTGCTAACTAAGGTCACCACCATCATCATTCAGGATACAAACAACCATGGCTGTGTTTATTTGGCAGGGAGAAGGCAAGGGGGGAAGGTTTTCATAAACCTAGCAGGCTTAACCATATTTTTAATGTCACAGACTTTTCAGACGACATCTGGAGTATAATATCTAAATATCTGACTGGGGAATTAGAGAGTATATGTGAGGTTTTGCTCTATCTGCATAGTTCCTGTGGAGCGCATGGAAGTTAAAAACATAGCAGCTTTCTGCTATTTTTAAAGCTGTTCCTGTGGCGCAGTTTTACCTTTGTTCCCTGTCATTGATATTACCTGACCACTCTTTAGCCATCTTCTTGGTTTCTTATTTAAAAATCCTAGCAATAAAATACAAAGAGTGGAACCAAACACTAAATTATAAATGGACAATAATACCAAATTAAATAAGCAGCCAGCACCCAACGCAATCACTAAAACAGGTTAATACAGTGCCTTGAAAACAGAAAAACTCACTCCAGGATGAGAAAAATTGCCTTTTCCTTAAGCTGTCGAAGTTCTCTCTGTCTCCTTTCCTACCCTTCTCTTTCTGCCTCACAAAGGGAAATTAATAAGAGGTAATACAAGATTCATTTTTTTTAATGCTCACCCAAGGACATGCTTATTAGTTTTAGAGAGAGGGGAAGGAAGGGGGACAGAGAGAAACATCGATGTAAGAAACACTGATCAGTTGCCTCTCGCACATGCTTTGACCAGAGACAGAACCCACAACCTAGGTATATGCCCTGAATGGAAATTGAACCCGTGAAATTTTCTGATTATAGAGACACAAAGCCAGGGAAAGATTTTTAAAAAGTTTCTATTTTTACATGTCACAACATGTGTTACACAGTTTTAAGAAGGAAGGGAAAGAACTGCTGCCAGACAGACAGACAGAGTTCATATATGATTCAACCACTTTAAGTTCTTTGATGTTAACTTACTTATACTCTTTGAGTCTGTTTCCTCATTTGTAAAAATGCAGGTTATAATAACAATAAAAAGGAATTCAACTGCCAGGATTCAACAATATATGTAAAACAATAGGTATACAGCTGGTATAGAATAATTTCTTAAAATATGGAAGATATTTTTATTATCTGATTATCCTCACTCTATTTAAAGCACTTAAATATATATTAATAAATGGACCATCAAAGAAATGTGTATTGGTCACCACTGTGTACCTAGTACTTAAACATCAGCAAAGAATTAAAAATGTCTAATTTGGCAGTCTTAACAATACTTAGATTTATTGAGCATTTACTATATGCCCAGCATTCTCTAGGCATCCATTTACTTGTATTATTTCATTTAATGCCTGAAGCATCTCTTTGTAGTAGATACTAGATACTATTAACTGCAACACTTAAATAATGTTCAAATGTTGGCCATTCAAAAATCTCAACACCATGAAGCTAAGAGAATGAAAGTTTTATTTTATGAGTTTGAAGAACTTTGTAGAATACTAATTATAATGTGTAACAGAATATAGGGCATACTCTCAACCCTTCAAACTCTTTATCCGACAAGGATGCTAAAAAGCTTGATTTGTTCAAAACCATATAGCACATACACTTTTCATTTTCCTGGCAGACCATTAGATCCTGAGATCAGATTACCAGATTGTCCTTAAAGAAATTCTTTTCCCAAAAGATATGAAGCAAATATGACAAATTATTAATTTTTTATTATTGAAGTTGGTGGTACAAATAATATTTGTAGGGTTTTCTTCAGTTTTTCTGTACCTTTATATTTTTAGTTTAAACATTGTTTTATCTGCTTATGTACTTTCATTTTAAAGCAGATACATTATCAATTTTTCTATATACCAAGTTTCTAAAAACTCTAGGCTTCAAATTTTTTCTTTTATTGTCATTCAAATACAGTTGTCTCCATTTCACCCCCATTATTTTCCCCCACCCCAGCCATCCCCACCTCCCACCCTTGACCTTAACCCCCTTTGGCTTTGTCCATGTGTCTTTTATAAATGCTCCTGACAACCCTTTCCCCTTGTCCTTCCATTATCCCATCCCACCTCCCATCTGGTTGCTGTCAGTTTATTCTTAATTTTAATGTCTCTGGCTATATTTTGCTTGCTCGTTTGTTTTTTTGATTAGGTTGGGACTTCAACAAAATAAAAAGCTTCTGCACTGCTAAAGAAAACATCTTTCTTTTTCAATGATTGAATGGCAAAGCCAAAGTAATTTATATTAAATTTCACATAGTAAAATATGTATGCAATTCTCTAGAAGTTTTGGCAGTTTTCTTCATAATTAAATTCTTCCCCTAATGAACTATTGTCTGTAAATCTTAAAATAATGGAAAATTTAAACACAGTATCAAAGCAAGAAAGACATATCTTGTACACCTCATTCTCAAATCGGCCTCTTTATCAAAATACACACAAGCAATTCCACATTATTCACTTCACCCCTTGAACCAAAACTCAAATATGTACAATATTTTCCTTTATGTCATTTCTATATACAAGGACAGCATGAAGCTCCAAGGGAAATGCACAGGATTTTGAAATGTACAACTAGTTACATAGAGCCAAACAAGGTAAGTATAGTGTATGTATTCTAGTATAGAACTTCAGAAGCTAAGCAATGTTGAGAAGTCCAAAAGATTAGGACAGGAATTCAGACGATTCAATAAGAGGTCAGGGATTTGGTGTGGAGAAGAAATGAGAGAGGGGAAAGCTCTTACTTTGAAACAGTTGCTGTAAGCTAAAAAATGCCAATGCATCAATACCCTTTCTGAATCTGGGTCCCTGGGTTTGTGTTTAATTGTTCTTGTATAGTTAATGTAAGAATTTTGAAAATAAGAGTTAATTGCATTTTTAAATGTGTTAACGATATAATTAAAATGAATTATAATTATTCTTCATTACTTTAGCTTTCAGAAATGGTTATGAAGTACTCACTCATTTGTCACCAGAAAAACGATTACTTACTCCTGCCAAACTCAGCATCAGGGAATGTCTTTAATGGACTGCTTTGATAAAACCTTGGTACCACATACCCCTCAGATACAAAATGGAGTAGTAAGTCTGGCCAAGTGTAAATGCAATAGACCCCTCAAAGGTAAAATGCAATCAATGAGGTTCTCCCCTTTCCCACTGTAAGCTTACATTTCTTAGAATCGCCACTTGCTTGGTCCCAGAATTGTCCTGGTTGGCCAAACTGTGTGTGTAACCCTGAATAAACACAACCTATCAGCCTATTGTTTTGGTTCCAGCACTGTTTCCATTTTAACCTTGAAACTACTTGGATGATTTTAGACACTGATGCTAAGTTTGTTTAGAGCTTCTAACTGATCAAAATACAATCACACACACTGTCTCACTTCCTTCTCTCAAAATTCAAATGAATACCTAAACTCCATCTCTTTGTTATTACTCCAGCCTGCTCCTCCCACCCATGTTTCCTGTCTCCAGGTTGCTACCACTACAAATCCTATTGCTCAAGGCACAAACCCAGAAGTCATCCTTGACTCCTCCTTCTCCTTCATTACCATCCAATCACTAAATGAGATTAGTTCTACCTCTAAATTGCTATTACTTTCTAGTTCCATCTCCTAAGGCCAGGCTACCATCATCTCCTGCTCAGACCACTGCAACAGCCTCTGGGAATCTGGCCTCAGTTTCTCCAACATACTCTACACCATCGCTTATCTTTGCTCAAATCTAAGTGAGGTCCAGACAAATATAAAGCCCTTCACCATTTGAACCCTTGCCCAAGATTCTTGCCCTGTTTCCTCCTTACGTACCTAAATCCATCCCAGGTATCCTATATTCGGGCCACACTGAACCCTTGGAATTTCTTAAATGTAACAAACTCTTCCATACACCCATGCCTCTGTGATGCTGCTACTCTGATATCTGCTTTAGAACTGGACTCAGAGCAAAACAATACTGACTGACTCACACTTCCACTCAACCTAGGCCAGGTTATAAACCTGTCCTGTGCATCCCCAGAAAACCCTAAGTTCATTTCTATTAGTCCCTATTGTTTGTTTGCCCTACTTGTCATTTGCTCCTATCAGACTCAAAGTTAAGTGACAGAAAGGATAATGGCTTATTTATATAAGCATTGCTAAAGCCTAGTACCAGTGCTCAAAATATGCTTCTTAGTAAACATTCAGTAAGTGCTTCTTGAAACAATGAAGGTATAGGTTTTATGTAATCTTACAAATGAGAAATCTAAGGCAGAAAGCAGTTAAAGTAATGGATTAATTCAAAGAAGAAGTGAAACTAAAGCCTTGTGAACTATCGCCCTGTAGGAGATAGACCGCCACATTTCACTGCTTGTAATGTCAAAAACTGAGCATCTCAAAGCAACAGAGGGCTAGAATTGACAAGTGGAAACAAAATCTGAATGACAGTTTCCCCTATGACCCATGTAGAATAAGCATGACATTTAGTGGCCTTTAAGCAGCTGCATTCCAAGACAGATGCTCCGCCTTTCCAGTAGCCATCAGCCTCATTTCAAATACTGTATACTACCTTTTTCCTCTGTCACATGTTGAAGTAACTTCTCAAGTTCAGGAAGTTTCAGCAACAAGATGCAATTCGGAAACATGTCATCCACCACAACTTGATCTAGAGGCTGAAACTTTCCCTGAAAAAACACTTCAGTCAGTCAGAAAGCAAGCATACCAGTCAACAAACTGACATATTTAAAAATAAAAAAAAAGATACATTACCTCATAGCTGCACTTTTTAATTAAGTTCTAAGCCACCTGTTCCACCCTAAACTGGGATAAGCTCCAGAACTGACTCTCAGCTCCCTTGAAAGGATTCCAACCTCAGGACTACAGATATGGGATGAAAAAAGGCAGTAAAATTCTGGGAAAGCACTGGAAGTTACAGAAACTTTCAAAGATGGCTGAGAATGCCTGGGGCTGATCCATCCCATTTAATTTGAAAAAGAACCAGCTGAGGTCAGGAGTCCTGACCATCACCCAGGGATAAGCCTAATCAAGCCCACTGTGTACATCTCCTCTCCTCTCCTCAATCTCCCAGGGTTCAAACACCACAAGAAAAAAATTCCAAAAATTAATCAACTCCTGTTGGAGATAACAATGCTTCCAAATTTAAACTATAATAAAATAAAAGATAGTTACAGGGATAAGGACAATGAAGCTGCAGATACATTAAATCATGCTGAGCTAGATAAATGTACATGCCTCGTGGCCAAGGAGCCAGAAGTACAGAACACAGAAATTCAGAACATTCTTTTTTCTCAGTTAGGTTTATTTTTTCTTAACTTTACTAGTGGTGCGGAAATAACTGAATTTGCAAAGGTGTATGGTTTTGCCCATGTCCCACTTCTAGCTTACTATACTTTCCTGTTAGTGACAATTCCATTTGAAGACAGAAAACTTGTATCTGATCAGTTTTCTTTCTGCAAATACAGCTTTCTTTGTTCTAAGGGTGAAATATTATCATTCATTCAGTAGCATGTGTGACAGCTTGCCACACTGTCTGTTAGGTTAACAAGTGGCAAGAAATGCCTCAATGAAAATGTTCTCCTTTTCCTTCACACAGTAAAACTAATTCACAGATTTCTCAAGTCTTATTATTTTAGATTTCTACCTTAATGTATATTCTACCATGATCCACCAAATTTTAAATATTTAACTACTTTAAAACAATATTCCACATATATAAATATTTATAAAATGAACTACAACACAATCATAGTAATATAATTTCATAATTCATATTTCATTCTTGTTTTCTTCACCATATACACATAAAAAGGAAATGTAATAAGCAACTTGTTTTGAATCTAGTTAATAACAGTTGGGATAGCTATAAAAGAAAATTATTTCTTCTTATGTTACAATGTATAATTAAATAAACTTCTACTTAAAAAGACTACATCAACATTTAAAAGCTATGCATGAATATACTTTCTAACTAAATAGAAAAAGATAATGTCTAAAATGTAGGAAAGGAAATATATAAACATCTCATTGGTTACTTCGAAGGGCATTTTTAATATCTGAGAAGAGAAAGATGGTTTACAATGAAAGAAAACTACCATCTTGATTTCTGCTTCATTCTGCATCTGTCAACATGAATGAGCTATAGTATCCCCAGAGATTCCCAGAAAGTCAGACTGAGGGTTAATTCACCAGTTATTGTCTTAATGCAAAACAGGGAAACACTTCCAAAATAGGGCAGTGGAGGCTTTAAATGTTCATCAGTGCTGGTTGGTGGCTTTCTCTCTGTTAATGTACGCTGGAAAACAAATGGGAGCCAACTGAAGTTTCCAACCTTGTGGCTGAATACTGCCAGCCCTTCCTGGTGGTGACTAGAACCAATTGGTATGCTCTAATTATATTGTCTACCAAGGTAGCTTATAGATAATGGGAAACATGATTAAACTAAGGAATAAAACTTCACTTATCCATACAAAAGGACAGAGACTATAGAAAAGGAAGAAAAAAAAAAGAAGCTAAGCTGCATCAGGAGAAAGCATGACTTAAAAGTTTTAAGTCACTTTTATTACTTTCAGGATTTATAGCAAACTCAATTAATATTCCCACAAAATAGAAGTTTTGGCAATTTGGTGTAAGGAGTAAATAAAATGAGACAAGCTAGCATTTAATTATGTAAGTATTAGAGTGCAAAATAACAGATTCTTCCAAGCAGTTTAAATAACACTTATTCCTTAAATTTGTCCAAAGGTTTTTAAACTGTGGTTTGTAAATCCCTGGGGGTCCTCAATACCCTTGGTAGGGCCCACAGGCTCAAATCTATTTTCATAATAATGTTAAGATGTTATTTGTGTTTCTACCTTGTTGACATTTGTACTAACAATTCCAAAGCAAAGGTCGGTGGAACAACTGGCTCATCAGCATCCATTGGTAAGGATGGTGCAACAAACTGTCCTGGTAGTCACTGAATTCTTCACCACCATGCACAGTTAAAAAAACTGGCCCATTTTATAGGAGATAATTCTGTGTGGTGTGGGCCCAGCTCCCACTTGGAGATGCACAGGACCCACGCCCACAGATACGTTCCCCTGTGGGGATTCAGGCCTGCATTGTAGAGACTTGCTTCTTGCTAAAACTCCCTCACCCTGAATTAAGGCAGCAAATGTTTACTGCATATCTTTAAAGTAACTTCCTAAAATCCATGCTAAACCTTCCAAGGATGAGTGTAACCAGTTCAACCACTCTTCCCTTTGCATTTGCAAATATCCTTCTTCTGTGATGTGATTAGTGGCATCCTCTCCTTTGTTTTCTGTAAAAGGTAATCACCTAAAGCAAACCCCTGCATAGTAAATGAGGACCATCGTGTAATGTGCCCAGAAAAGCAATAAAAGCTTGTCAAGGCAAGGGTCAAGGTGCTCTCTTCTTGAGAGAGTGGCCGTGCCATCCCTTTTCCTCCACAGGACTCGGTAGTCCGTGTGATTTTTGTCTCATACCTCACCCACAATGTCATGGACCCCACGAGCTGGGGTCTTTGTCACCATTTCATTTATGAATATGCTTGACCAAAATTAGCAGCAATTATTTTTATTTACATCTTGACTCTTGAATGAGTCTTTTAAATACTCTATGTGATAATAGTGTTGCTAAAGTGCTTCTGCCCCCTGTGAAGGTGCAGGATTCTCTCAAGGAAAACATTTATGTTGAGTTATAAGCTGAACTAGCTACTGTTTTAATAGATGCCATTTTTACCTAAAAAACAAGCAAACAAAAAAAAAACAAAAAACAAAAAACAAAAACACCACTGTGAACTTCAGTGATTCAGATGTGGATATGTGGCAGAACATAAATGAAGTGAACCTACGAGGGAAAGACTGACAGTACTTGTAGCCAATAATAAAATTTTAACTTTCAAGCAAAAATTAAAATTGTAGAAAATTTATATATGCCATTATGACAGCTTCTGAATACTTAAAGAGTTTTCTGATTACAGATATCAGCAAAGGTCAGTGTGGTATGTATGTAATGAGATGTGTCAACATTTAGAAAATCAGCATAATTTAGTGAAACAACACTTTCCAAAGGTGTACATGGGTAAAAGATCCGCTCTCAGTATGAGACAGAACAATAGAGTTTAATGTAGCAGAGCATGGAGAGTTCATTAACAGGGCTTCATAGTCCACACTGCAACTGAATTTTAAGAAACTATGCCTTGCTGATTTTTGGAATACTGTCAAAGAATCATATCCACAATTGTCTGATACTATTCCTCCCTTTTCTGACTATGTATCTGTGTAAGGCTGCATATTCTTCATGTATTTCCACCAAAACAATATATGGAAACAGACTGAATGCAGAAGCAGATATGAGAAGCCAGTTGTCACTATTAAGCCACACATCAAAGACACCTGAAAAAATGTAAAACAATGCCACATTCATCACTGAATTTTATTGTTTCACTGAAAATGTGTTATTTATGTTAGTATGTACTGTGCTTGTCATTTTTATTTTAAAATAAATTAGTAAAATTATTTTCTAAATTTCTCAGTTTTAATTTCTAATGTAGTAAATATTGATAGATAAAGCCCACAGGAACAAAAAGGTCTTTGGGGTCCTTAATAATTTTTGGAGTGTAAAGGTATCCTGAGACCAAAATTTTCAGAACCTCTGGCTGAAATTATTACTATTAATAAAATCTGTCTTTATCTTACAAAGGAAAATTTTATCAAGCTGGAGTTTCATTAAGTCTCAACTTGAGGCTCCTCATTAATGAGCTTTTTACTAGATGTGCCCCAGTTTACTTATTTTACAGTCTCTCTCAAATAAGAAAAACATTATCTTCTTTCTTCTCTTAAAACGTGAGATCAATTTCTTAAAATTTGTATTATATTTCAAAACAAATGAGTACTTACTGATAAAATTTTTCATTGCAAGGCTGTGTCAAACAAGTAAGGCACATAGACAGCATAGAGGGTTAAGTAATTTTCAGACATCACAAGTCAAAACAGTGCAAGATTCAGGTGTTGTTCTCAGTTCTCACTAATCTATATCAGGACATCTGACACACATGTTATATACCAACCAATTTAAATTTGAATTGTGGGAATCTATATCTGGATCATTGAAAGACAAGAGAGGAGATCTAGCAAAAAAACAACATATCCTGGTTCCTCATTGTTATAATCCCAAACTAGGAAACTGACCCTTTTTAAAAACATTTTTTAAAATATGTTTATTGATTTGAGATAGAGGAAAGCATCAATGTGAGAGAGAAACATTTATTAGTTGCCTCCCATATCCACCCCAGCTGAAAATAAAACCTGCAACCTAAGTATATTCCCTGGCTGGAAACTGAACCTGTTAACTTTTTGGTGTATGGGGACGATGCTCCAACCGAGCCACACCAGCCAGGGTGGAAACTCACCTCTTTGTCAGCCTTTATAAGGTAGTGGAGGAGCAGAAATAGAGGATCTATGGGTGTGGCAAAGTGGAGAAGACCTCCTATAGATTAAAAAGAGAACAAAGGGAATTAATGTCTGAAAAGACAACTTAGTCATTTCATCTTAATCCCAATGTAGAAACAATTCATTGGGAACTGTATGTGAATTTTCAAATACAGAAGTTCTCCTTACACAGGCCCATGATTCTATGATTCTCTCAAAAGGTAGAATGTGGTCCATAAGATTTTATTCCAAAGAGCTTCAAATCCCTGTGTGTAGATAAGACTCAAGACACTGAAATTGATCTTTAACTTTTCCTTTCTCTTTCGAAATAATTTTTAACAGAGGTCTTCCCCATTGCTCCATAAAGGCAAGGACTAGGGGAAATATGGATAGAATATCAGCCATGCAAATACAGGAAACCTATATAAGCCTATCTATAAAGCTACAGTAAAATGCAATTTCCTGTGCTTTTGAGGACAAAGTTATTGGAAAGCAATAGCATTTTCTCTGTACATAGTTCCTTCTATGGTCTGTGGGTTCATTGATCTGACTTACTAATGACTCAAAGTTCAGAAAGTTGTTACTCACCCCAGACCCTACCCCATCCTCCTACCCCAAAGAAAAAGGCAAGAGGGTAAGATTCTAGTAACTGAACATAAGAAACTGGAAATTCTGCAGTAAGATTAATTGTGCTCTCCAGGCTAAAAGGAAAAAGGCAAATCAAACAAATTAGCCCAACTTCTCCCTGCTTTTCTTTCCTCTATCATACTTCCCTCCCAGTATCCTCTTTCAGACTTCCTCTTCTACAAAAATGAATCATAAGAGGAAATTCATCAAATGAAATAATACACAATTAATTTATCTCCATATTTATTATTTTTGTTTAAGGAAATATATTTACTTACTTTTATTCTCTAACAGACCAACCTACTTATACATCCAAGAAATTCTAACCCTAAATTATATACATGAATACATTTCACAGTAAGAAAAAAACTAAGGAATTTCATATTATGACATTACATTTTTTTCATCCTCATTGAAGGACATTTTTTTCATTGCTTTTAGAAAGAGAGGAAAGGAGAGAGGAAGGAAGAGAGAAACATCGATGTGAGAGAGAGAGAGGCCTTGATCAGCTGCCTTTAGTACATGCCTGGTCCGGGGATAGAACCCACACTCTATGTATTGCCCTGACCAGTAATCAAACCTGCAACCTTTCAGTTATGGGACAATGCTCCAACCAACTGAGCTACACACACCAGGATGACTTGTTTTTTTTAAAGCAGAAGAGAAGTTTATAAAAACAACTGTCAGGTTCTCTAAGTTTGTTTTATATAAGGCATCTATTACATTCAGAAATTAGGGATAGGTTTCTAGGTTTGAAAACAGTATCCTGGTGGTCATTCTTAAAAACAGTTCTTTAATTTTAAATTTTACAAAAGACAATAATGAAAACAGCAGGTACCTTTGCTATGAACCTAAAACTGCTCTACTTAAATTAAAAAAAAAAAAAAAAAAGCACGTAAGCACAGTCCATTCCAAGAGAAATTGTCAATATTTTCCAGCTCCATCTGGATATTATCATGCTTTTCAGCTACAAGTATATATGTTACATTAAAAGTTGGAACTCTTATGTACTGCCAAATGAATAAGCATGGTAGCAAGGGAATACCAGAGTATACCTAGACTACCACTGAACTTTAGCAACTAAACACTACTTTAATTCTTCTCATACACATATGTATATAAAATTTATCACGAGCATAAAACCCTTCTTCTGGAATGTCTTAGAAGAAAGGCAAAGTGATCTTCATACCTTAGGACGAAGTAGCCATATACACAGTCAAAAGAAAAACAGCACTCTCTGGAAAGAGAATAGTCAGAGGGAATGCAGAGTGCCTCAACTATGCCGTGACACCCTGCCCTCACCCCCAATACCCTCATTCTGAGATCCATCAGAAAAAACATGTGATATCCTTTTTCCTTCTGAGCCAACACTACTCCAAATTAAAGGAATGTTAAAAGAAATAGAACTTCGGTGTTGGGATGTATGTGTGAGTCTGGGAAAGGGTGGCAGCATTAATTTATAAAACAAAGCATTAAAAAATCTTTGTCATATTCTATTCTATTTTAGAAACTACATCAGTATCTATTCTCAAGGAAATAAGATGTTAAAAACTTGAAAATCCTCAAACATGGCTAACAGAAGAGCAAAGAGTTTCTAGTCAAGACAATGTGCACTCAATGTGGTACAAAGATCATCTGCCTTCTGAAAAGAATGTTAAGTGTTTAAAGTCATTAGTTAAAAATTTCTTACCATCTAAGATACATAGGTATTAATATAAACTTGCTCAAATTATCTTTCCTTTCTCCTTGATTGAACTCTGCAGTGATTCCAAAGAAGAAAAAAACAGTGACCAGACTCTAAACCAGGAAAAGAGACTGGTACGCCTGTGAGGGATCGAAAAGCTAGTGCTAGAGTATGTTGTTCAGTTAATGGAAATGTGTACACTAGTTACTTACCTGACTGAACTGATTGATTTATAAACCATGAATGGTATTTTTCTTTGAAAAGTTTTATTTCAAACAGCTGCTGTAGACACATACTGAACAAGTAAAGGGCTCCTTCCCCTGTTAAGACAAATCTGTTTTTTATTTGTAAGTTTTCACATGCAAAAACCCAAAAGACTATCCAATAGTTCTGAGGAATGTTCCTAAAACAAACAAACATACACAGATGTATATTCTATACAAACTGACTCCAAGGAAAGATTATAGCTATTATATGCAGATGCTTGTTTTCCAGTTCTATAAATAATAAAAGGCAAATTATTTATCTTAACTGTTTCTAAGCCTCTTACTGAATCCTCCATTAGACCAGGAGGGAAAACCCATTCTTAAAGTATCCAAACCTAATGGTTCAGCCAGATGAACTGAGCTGGCATGGTGATCCCAGACTCCACATTAGTGTGTGGCTACCCATACACAAGGACCAAGATAGAAACACAGCGTGCAGACCCTGAAGGCCAGTTCTGAGTGAAAAACGAAAGGACACTCTAACGCATAAAATGTTTTTTCTAAACATAGAGAAATCAAGGACTTTGAATCTATCTTTATCACATGCTGGGCTCGTGCCATTGGGCAAGTTATGTAAACCTTTCTGTACCTGTTTTCATATCTGTAAAATGGGAGCAATAGTGAACCTACTTCACAGGGTGTTTATAAGGATTAAAAAGAGAATACATGCAAAGTTCTTAAAATAGTATTTGGCACAGAGTAAATGCTCAGCAAATGTTAGTCTTTATTTTTTCCATAGTTAATGTAGCAAATACAAAAACATTTGTTCAAACCTCTGTTGCCTATGGGCATTTAGATAAAAAAGAAATTTTCAAGAAGCCTGAAATTTCTGTACTTTTTTTTTTTACTTTTGTTAAATGCTTTATAACCTTTGCTGCTACCTGAAACTTGTCTCGAAGATATAACTCTCACCTCAACTTAGTCTTATGTATTAGTAAGAGCTCCAAATAATATAGCAGACAAATTATATTCAATTTTATTTTGAGAAAAAGAAAACTAGAGAAAATTAAAACTTTTTTCTTCTGTTGCTTCTATTTTATGTTTTTCCAACAATAACAACAAGAAGGCACTACCTACTGGCTTCCCCTTGCTTTTACTATCTAGCATTATAGTTACCAGAAGAATGCTCTAATTTTCTAAGTATCTATTCAAAACCTTAAAAAATTAACAATAAGCTTTTAACATCTTATAAAGTAAGTCCTTAAAGAACAATGTCATAATGAAATAAATGTCATTAATATTACTACATAATTATAGTATATTTTAATTATTTTGCCTAAAAATTAGAAGACAAAACAGAAAATACACTGAATATATAAAGTTAAAATAAAATTACTTCTGATAAAATATATCTTTAATATACAATGCTTTTAATACAAAAAAATTCATCTCTTGACAAGGAAAAATATACCTTCTGGTCAACTAAAAATGAAACTGCTCATAATCTTGGTGTGCCATGTAAAAGCCTTCTTTCCCTGCCCCACACCCATGATCGTTTATATTACTTTATAAGAGACTAACTACTCTAAGAAAAATTGGCTTAAGTAAGCCAAAGAAAATTAATGTTTTCAGAGAGAAATCAAACATGCTACTTTGCTTAGCCATCATTTCTGATGAATGAACCAGTCTATGGATTAAAATTACAGGAATAAATACCAAAATGTTTAGGTCTAGTGAATCACTTGAGATGACTAGTAATGTTATTAGCTTACTTTTCTCAACTTTTAATACCATTTTATATTTATTTATTTTTATTTAATCCTTATTGTATTTTTATATTACTTTTTAGTCCCTTTATACCCCCTTCTCCAGCAATCACCATACTGTTATCCATGTCCATGAATCATTTCTCCTTTTTGCTCAATCCCTTCACTCCCTAACCTTCCTCCCACCACCAGCTGTCATCCTGCTCTCCATCTATGAATCTGTCCCCATTTTAGAAGCTACTCAGTTAGAATAAACATACAAAGGCAAATTAGCCACAGTGTTACAAAAATGTTCAAGTTACTACTATCAAAAGTGAAGAAGAGGAGTGGAAAAAGAGCTTACCTGAACATGGGTTAACTAATTTTACAAACATAAGCCCAGTTTTCATCTTCTTTGAAGTATCTTTCAAATATTCTGAAAAGAAATGATGAATTTGTAAAAGTAAGACATTTGTTGTTCTAATTTATCCTGATTTTCTTTTATTTATGATTTGTATTCCTAAAATTTTAACTCAATTCTATTGCTTAGGAGCTGTGTAATTTAGAGCAAATTACCAGTTTCTCTGTAAAGTACAGTGGGGTACTAGGTTATTTTAATTTATTTCTTTGAGAAGTAATGAGGAACAGAACTCTTATAGGAGACCATTCTGTGTGGCATGGGTCCAGCTCCCACTCTGAAAGGCCAGTGAAAAGCAAGGTCCAGTACACAGGACCCATGCTCAGATAGACCTGAGGAATAGAAATGAAGGAAAACGCACAGGGAACCAATAGTGATGGGAAGGAAACTGGAACTCAAAACAGTAGAGTGGACCAGAAGGAAGAAAGAAACAACCAAACAGGAAAGAATGAAGAAATAAGAATTCAAAAAAATGAGGAGAAGCTTAGGAACCTCCAGGACATCTTTAAATGTTCCAACATCCAAATTATAGGGGTACCAGAAGGGGAAGAGGTAGAGCAACAGATTGAAAACGTATTTGAACAAATAATAAAGGAGAACTTCCCCATTCTGGCAAAGGAAATAGACTTCCAGGAAATCCAGGAAGCTCAGAGAGTCCCAAAGAAGTTGGACCCAAGAAGAAACACACCAAGGCACATAATTACATTAGCCAAGGTAAAAATGAAGGAGAGAATCCTAGAAGCAGCAAGAGATAAGGGGACAGTCACCTACAAAGGAGTTCCCATCAGACTGTCAGCTGATTTCTCAAAAGAGATCTTACAGGCAAGAAGGGGCTAGAAAGAAGTATTCCAAGTCATGAAAGACAAGGACCTATATCCCAGATTACTCTATCCAGCAAAGCTTCCCTTTAGAATGGAAGGGAAGATAAAGTGCTTCTCAGATAAGGTCAAGTTCAAGGAGTTCATCATCACCAAGCCTTTATTTTATGAAATGTTAAAGGGACTTATCTAAGAAAAGAAGATTAAAAAAAAATACATATAGTAAAAGGACAGCAAACTCACAATTATTAACAACCGCACCTAAAGCAAAACCAAAAGAAACTAAGCAAACAACTAGAACAGGAACAGATCCACAGAAATGGAGATCACATGGAGGGTTAGCAACAGGGAAGTGGGAGGAGAAGAGAGGGGGAAAAGGTGCAGAGAATAAGTAGCATAGATTGTAGGTAGGAAATAGACAGGGGGAGGGTAAGAATAGTATGAGAAATGTAGAAGCTGAGAACTTATGACACATGGACATGAACTAAAGGCGGGGGAAGTGGGTGGGAGAGGGTGTACAGGGTGGAGGGGAGTGAAGGGGGGAAATGGGACAACTGTAATAGCATAATCAATAAAATATATTTAAAAAAAGAAAAGAAAGGTAAAACTGAAAAAAAAAACATTAGTACTTCAAAATTTTAATTATAGCTTTAAAATTTATTTTAATACATCATGAGGTATGAGGTAAATTCCTTCATAATGTTTCCTGTATAATATTTCACTGCCATAATTTTAATCATATAGTTTAAAACATAAAGACCATAATAATTTTATTTATAATATCCTCCATACTATTTGAGTGGCATATTCATATAACTCATTTAAAGAATCTATCTGCAAAGAAACCAGGAGACTTTGACTAATAGGGAATAGAACAACAAACTACCAAAGAGCAAATCAAAACTTCTGGGAAAGAAGAGAACTTTTAGTCACTTCCATTTTCTATGGCCTCCACTACCCTTGCCCCTCTTCAGATCTTCATAAACATATTTATATAGAGCAAGCATGTTTAGAAATGGGCTTACTCATAAATGGTTAAAATATAACTATATTCCCTAAAATAATAGTGGCATTAAATATATAAAGAAAAAAAAACATAGTTTTAAGATTCCTATTTAAAATCAAGTGGAATAACAGGAACCTAACTCACCTTCCCACCTGATGCAACCAAAAATAAAAAGACAAAAATATACAAAATAACTATTTTCAAGACAATGGACATTGATGGTTATCTCTAAGAGATGGGAAAAAAGGTGAGCCCTGTGACTGCCCCAGGTTACTGCCTTGATAGTTTCCAGGCCATGGAGCAGAACAGGAGAACCCAGGTGAAGCCTGGCAGACTCCTTGAGTTGAACAGGGGAAGCTGAGAGTTCTGGAGACTCCAAGGCTACAGTTCATAGGTCAGAATACAAGAAAGGAGAGAGATCCAAAGAAAGAAAACCCCAGAGATCTGCAAAGGGTACTGATCAGTGCATGCATATGATATAACTACCAGAGGCAGGGAGAAAAACCATCTGAACATATTAGATGGAATAGTACCTCACATTCACTCAGGACCCTGAATTGGGCCTATTCCCAGACACACTGAAAAAAACTCATAATTCAGAGGGTTGGATCAAGTCCTTAAAAAGGTCTTGCCTTAGTAATATGGAACAAGTAACTGTACTAAAAGCTGCTCTGATTCCAATGAACTAATTTTAAAAATAAGACCTAAAGAATCAAGCTGTAATTGGAGATTGTAATTGGAGATTCTGAAAGACAAGGATGGGGAAAGAAAAAATATTTGAAGGAAAGCATGGTTGAATATCTTCAAATTTGATGAAAGCCAGAAACCCTCACACCCAAGTTCAATAAACCCAAAGAAACAGGAATAAAAGTATACATCAGAATTAATAATTCAAAACAAGCAATAAAGAGAAAATCTTAAAAGCTAAGGAAAAAAAAGATTATGTACTGAGGCACAAAGCTAAAAGTGACAGTAAATTTCTTATTGGAAACAATGCAAGTCGGAAGGCAACAGAAAAACATCCTTAAAGTACTAAAAGAAAACATGACTCCTGGCTGGCATAGCTCAGTGGATTGAGCACGGGCTGTGAACAAAAGTGTCGCAGGTTCGATTCCCAGTCAGGGTACATGCTTGGGTTGCAGGCCATGACCCCCAGCAACCGCACATTGATGTTTCTCTCTCTCTCTCTCTCTTTCTCCCTCCCTTCCCTCTCTAAAAATAAATTAAAAAAAAAAAAAAGAAAAGAAAAAAGAGAACATGACACAGAGAATATACCCTTGAAAAATGAAGGTGATAAATTGAGTTTTTCGGACATATAAGAGCTGAAAGAATCACCAACAGACCCACATTACAAGGAATATTAAGGGAAGGCCTTTCAGCAGAAGGAATGTGACACCAGATGAAAATATAAATCTAAACAAAGGAATGAGGAACACTGGTAATGGTGACTGCAGGAGTGAATAAATAAGAACTTTATTATTTAAATCTCTTCAAAGATCAATGACTAAACAAAAATAGTAATAATTTAGTGCAGGTTTATAACATATATATAAATAAAATGTATAAAAACAGCATAAAGTCGAGTAGGAATAAAATGAAATTATGTTATTGTAAGTTTCTAATGCAATATGAGAAATAATGTAATATCACTGGAAGGTAGATATGATTGAAATGTGTATGAAATAAAACCACTAAAAATTACAGCAGCCACTAAAATTACAAAAAAAATAAATGCTGTCACTAACAACAAAGGAGATGAAATAGAATCATAAAAAATATGTAATCCAAAGGAAGGTAGGAAGGGGGTAACATAAGTTACAAAGAACTGATGAGACAAACAGAAAACAAGCAGCAAGTTAACAGAATCAAACCTATGCATGTCAATAAACACATTCAATGTAAATGTCCTATACAACCAACTATAAGTCAGTGATTGGCCCTGGCCAGGTAGCTCAGTTTGGTAGCAGATTGTCCTGTATGCCAAAGTTGCAGGTCTGATCCCCAGTCACAACACATACAAGAAGCAACTAATAAATCCATAAACAAGTAGAACAAATCAATGTTTCTTTCTCTCTTAAATCAGTAATTTTTTTAAAGGCAGTAACTCTCAGATTGGATAAAAAAAGTAACAAATTTTTTTTCAAAATGTAAGATAAAACTACATGGTGGGGCAAAAGTAGGTTTAGAGTTGTTTATATGGAAAATAATACAATAATTATAATAATAATACAAGACTAAACTGTGTTTTGTGTACTCAACAACTGTTCACCTACTTTTGCCCAATCCTGTAATTTCTGCCTAGAAGGAAGACATTTTAAATATAAAGATTGAAAGTAAAATGAAGGAAGAAGGTATGGTGTGCTTCTCATGCTAACGGTAATTAAAAGAAAGATGAAATGACTCTATAAACAACGAAGATTATTTGCAGGGATAAGGAATGTCATTTCATAATGATTGAAGGCTCAAGAAGAAATAATCCTAAATGTTTATGCTCACAAATAGAGAGCTACAAGAAGTACAAAGTGAAAACTGATAGAACCCTTTGCTCCATTTCTAATCCCTGGCAACCACTAATCTGTTCTCCATCTCTGTAATTGTCAACTTGAGAATGTAATGAACCATACAGATTCAATTTTAAGACGGTTTTGGTTTTAAGACTTTCATTCCTGAAACTTATAAGACAATGTAAAGGATACATTTTAACACTGTTAAGAACTTTCCCTCAAAAGGAAAACAGGTTATGGTTTTCTCTCCTTTTCTCCTTTGCTGTTTCTCAGCATCACATAGCTTCACCACTCAAGGCATAGAAAAGGGGACATCTCTCTTCTTTCACAATACACCTTTATTTTAATTTTTTTAGGGTGTGAAAATCATGGCATTTATTTGTATTCAAGAGGCAGCAAAGCTTAGCTAAAAGAGCACAATAGTGAGAATAAAGAATGCTAGTTCTGTCCCTCTCTGACTCAGCAGTATTGCCATATTCCCCATCTGACTAAGCCCCATTTCCCACTTCGATAAGTCAAAGGTGTAGAGCAAAGTTCTGTAGTATTTCTTTTTTACTTCACATTTTTATTGTTGTTCAAATACAGTTGTCTCCATTTTCTCCCCACCACTCCCCACAACTCCAGCCATTCTCAACTCCCACCCTTGATTCTACCCACTTTGATTTGTCCATGTGTTCTTTATGTTCCTGA